AGTTCAGCCCTTTCTGTGTCCCCTGTTTGCATTTCACCATCTTCTCCTCTGAGTGACCCCACTGTTTCTTTGTTCTTCCTTTTGCTACGAACATACCCATAAAAGCCTTTTTTGTTGCTTTTAACCTCTCTAGCAAGCCTGAGTTCATTCTGTGCTTTAGCTTTTCTGACTTTGTGTCTACACGTGCTGGCTATTTGTTTGAATTCCTCTTTGGTGGTTTCCCCCCTTTTCCATTTTTTGTACACATCCTTTTTTAATCTTAACTCAGTTAAAAGTTCTTTAGATAGCCACTTTAGATAGAAGCTTGGCTGCTCCTTTCCGCTGTATTCAGAAGAGCACGATCACTCGCGCCTAATGATCCTTCCACTTCTACCCCACTAACCAGGTCATCAACATTGGTTAGGACCAGATCTAAAATGGCTGTTCCTCTTGTTGCTTCTCCCACTTTCTGGACAATGAAGTTGTCTGCAAGTCCAGTGAGGAATCTGTTTGACCTTATGCTCTTGGCTGAGTTTGACATAAAACAAATATCCGGGTAATTGAAGTCCCCCATTACTACTATCTCCCTTCCTTTTGCATGCTTGGCCATCTGTTCCAGGAAGGCATCATCTATGTCCTCCGTTTGGCTTGGGCATCTATAGTAAACTCCCACAATGAGGTCTCTGTTATTCTTCTCTCCCTTAATTTTGACCCAAATGCTCTCACTTTGGCTTGGAGGTTCTAAATCTTGGATCTCTTCACAGGTATACACATCCCTGACATATAACGCCACTCCTCCTCCTTTCTTGTCTGGTCTGTTTCTCTGAAATAGATTGTATCCCTCCATTATTACATTCCAATCGTGGGACTTATCCCACCAGGTTTCAGTGATGCCTATATTTAGTTTGCTGTACCAAGAGCTCAAGCTCATCTTGTTTATTTCCCATGCTTTTGCGCATTAGTGTACAGACATTGAAGTCCATTAATCATTCCCCCGTGTCTCTTATTTAAGGATTTTTTCCTCCCACCACTAGGTCTGTGTGCTGTTTGCTCCATTTGGTCTATGATCATCTTCATCTATTGATAGACTCCAACCTTCAGGAGCACTGTCTCCCTCCCCCACATTAGTCAGTTTAAAGCCCTCCTGATGAGGTTTCTGAGATTTTTGGCAAAAACATTCCTCCCAACCGTTGTGAGGTGCAGCCCATCGCTTGCCAGAAGTCCATCTTTAAGAAACTGCAGCCCGTGATCTAAGAATCCAAACCGTTCCTGTTTACACCATTTGCGAAGCCAGTTGTTCACTTCCACTATTTTTCCCTCTCTCCCTGGGCCACGTCGTTCAACTGGGAGGACAGATGAGATGACAATTTGTGCATTTAATTGCTTCAATTTCCTGCCCAGAGCCTTGTAGTCTCTTTTGATCCTCTGGAGGCTATTCATAGAATCATAGAATCATTTGATTTCCTGGAGGGCTATTTTTGCAGTGTCATGGGTTCCCACATGAACCCAAGAGAGGGGTATATTGTCAGGTGGGTTTTTATGAATTACTTGCAGTCGCTTCAGTTACATCTTGGATCTTACGCCCCCGGGGGACAGCACACGTCCCGAGACATCTTGTCAGGCGCCACAGGTCACTGCCTTCCTGCTTCCCCTCAGTAGGGATCCGTATACCACTACAGCTCGCTCTTAGGTCTGGTCGGGGTTCTTCCGTGAGCTGTCCGTTCCAAGGTCGCCTGCACATTCCCTGAGGACTGACTTTGCTGCTCGTCTTCATATACCTGATCAACTGTAATGAGGGAGAGATCCTCAAATGGAGTCTGCTCTTCGTCTTCCATGCTAGGGGAGAGGACCTCAAAGCGATTGTGTATTTCTAAACAATCAGAGTGAACCCTGGGCCTCCTACTTCTTTGAGTCATGTTTCTCCATATATCTGGCTCCTGTGTTGGTGAACTAGCCTCCTTCTCAGGGAGTCCCCTGTCTCCTCCTTGGTGGAGACGGTGTGCTCTGTTGCTTCTAAGAAGATCTCTAGCTCTCTAATTCTTTGGAGCGTAGCTACACGTTCCTCCAGTTGCTGGACTTTGTCTTGTAAGAGTGCAATCAACATGCAATTGCTGCAAGTAAAGCTGCCTGCAACCTTTGGCAAGATGGCAAACATTGCGCAGGAATCGCAGGCGACTGCAGCTGTTCCCTCACCCTCCATCTTGAGAACATGTCGTTGGGGGTGACTACAGCGGTCCTCCATCATAAAAAGCATGAAGACAGGACAAATAACTCCCCCCCCAAAAAAACCCTAGTTCTCCGCCAACAAACGTGTGAGACTAGCTCCCCTAAATCTAAAAGATGCCGCTGCCCTGCAAACTCTGATAAGCTCCTCCCACAGCTAATCACCTACCTCAACAGAAGCCCTGCCCCCTCTGACCTTTGCACAGGGAGAGCAGCTAATCAGCCACAAGTAACACACACAAGAAAACCCTTTTTTGCACCTTCTTCAGCTGCTGCCCTGCAAACTCCTTCAGCCTTCAGCGGGTCTAGGAAGGCTCAGTCGCAAAGGGAAGCATTCACCACTCCACGGAGCCCATCACCCTTTTATGAGCCAGGATGGGCAAGGATCAAGGCGAGAGGTGGTTAGTTTCACTCATCCAAGCAACCTGTCTACATCCTCGGAGGTAACAGATCAGAATTGATCCCATGCAACTTGACTAGCCAGGACTCTAGCACTCTTCCACCCCGGCCTTGCTCCCATGGTGGACTCTACCTCTTTCTGAATCTGAGCAACTTTATCAGCAAAAAAAACTTTGTGAAATCATTGCAGGAGATCCTGGGGGCCTTATCAGGCCCCAATGGCGCAGGTGGTTCTGTTAAATTATGAACCATCCGAAAGAGTCTCCTGCTGCTGTTTTCTGCAGATGCAATAGAGGCAGTGAAGAAGGTCCTCTTCGCCGTCGCTATTGCCACTTGGTAGGCTCGACATTGAGCTCTAACCTGTATCTGGTCTGATTCAGAATGAGTTTTCCGCCACCAGCGCTCTAGCCATCTCAAAGATTGTTTCATTGCCCTTAGCTCCACAGGGCTGTCTGGACTCCATGCAATCGGAGAGGGTGCTTTGGAGCCAGACAGTCGATAGCCCTGGTTAACTCCGTATTCCAGCGGGTCACCAGGAAATCAGCTGAAAGGCCATCAACATGGGATAAAACATCCCCTACCTCTCTCTGGAAACCATTTGGATCCATTAAGTGACGGGGGCAGACCATCCAAATTGGTCCTACCTCCCTGCAGAGGGGAAGGGTTGCGAAGAAGTCCAGTTGTATCAGGAAGTGATCCGACCATGGCACTTCTTTTGTTTCACTTTTACTTAGTGTCAGATCACCCACATCCATAGAGATAAACACCAGGTCTATGGCAAGTCCATGACTATGAGTTGGGCCAAACTTATTCAGGGACAGCCCCATGGAGGCCATGCTTTCCATGAAGTCCCGAGCAGCCCCTTGTAAGGTTGTGTTGGCACAGATGTTAAAATCCCCTAGGACAACCAAACTAGGTGTCTCCAGGAGAACATCCGCCAAGACCTGAAGCAGCTTGGGCAGGGAATCCTTGGCGCAGCGGGGAGGTTGGTACACCAAAAGGAATCCTGTACTGCCCCTATTGCCCAACTTCCAGGACATGCACTCAGAAAACTGGGTCTTCCCAATAGGACGCCTGGTGCACGCTAATGACTTCCTAAAAATCACTGCAACCCCCCCTCCTTGCCCACAAGGCCTGGGTTGCTGTGTGTAAGAGAAGCCTGGTGGACAAACAGCGGCAAGGACAGGCCCATCTGCTTCATCCAACCAAGTCTCTGTCACACATGCCAGGTCAAGTCCCCCATCCATGAATAAGTCGTGGATGGCAGTGGTCTTGTGAATCATTGACCTGGCATTGCACAGCAGTACCTTAAGGTCATATGGGTCTCTCTTGCTGATTCCAGTATCCTTCCGGTCAAGACCAGACCTGGAGGCTGAGATAGTCTTCACACAATGACTAAACCTGCCGCCTCGGTAATGACATGGTCTGGTCTCCTCCTCCTCCTCCTGCCCATGATCAGAGATCGGCCATCTGTGAAGTCTCCCATCCCACACAGTTTTTGGGGAGGGGGGGTTGTTGAAGTTTATGTCTAAGGAGAGGGAAGGGAAGGGAAGGGTCTCATTTGAAATACGCTTAAGCAGCAGATCTATTTCTGCCGTGTGCACGCACACCTTGGGCAGCTGCCACAGGCCCTCCAGGGAACTGGCAAAGAATTTCTAAGTTATTTATTGTCTTTCCCTCTTATCAGTAAACTTATTTCCCTATTTCCTGCACAGATGAAGATCTTGGCTGACAGTGTAGGTTTGCTAACCTCCTCGTGACTTTTTGCCTCACATAGAAATTGGTCCCAGAGAGAGGAGGAAACATTGCTACAGGGAAGTTGAGGGCCTTTGTTTGGGGTCCCCCCCTTTCCTTTTTTTTCATTTCATAGAAGGGATAATAATTTGAGTTACATTTTCCCCCTCCCCCCAGTGTTTTGTCTTGATTCCACGCATCTCAGTCTGTAGTGGCTAAATTTTAATCTCTGTTTGTTTGCTAATAATAGCTTTTTAAAAAAGATATCCAAAGGAGAAACCAACAAAACAAGATGACACAAAAGTTTGTCAAAACCAACTGCATTAAAATTAATACAATGGATGAAGCATTTTATTATTTTAAAATGGCTCAATAGAATAAAATGTCCTTGTTAATCCATAGAAATGATGCACCAAATAAAAACAAAATTGCCCTCAAGTTAATCCATTGCTCCCTCTGGGGCCAAACTAGATAATGGCCTGGTTCATGCATGGTTTAGTGTGAATGTGCAAGCATGCAAACTTGGGGGGGGGGGATTGTAGTTGCTTTGCTCCTTTCTTCCCATTCTGCTGCTGTTCGATGCTGAGCCAAGCAAAGCCATGGCTTATAGCCTTGGCTTATAGCATGTTGTCTGAACTCATGATTCAGCTCAAGCCATAATCCCTTGAGTGCTTCAGGGGATTTGAATCTGCGACTTCCCCATCCTAGTTCAGCATTCTAGCCAAGGGCAGGGCTCCCACGGCCCTGATGGTTTTGGAGGCCTCCAGCTCCCGCCAGCCCAGCTGCATGGCCAACGGACAGGGATGAAGGAGCTCTAGTCCAACACCTGGAAGACCACAGTTTCCCTGTTGCTGCTGTTCTTAACATTCAGGTGGGTTTTTTAAAAGAAACATTCCCATTGAGCTGGGTGTCAACCTTGAAATTATTACTTGTTTAGAGTATGTGGCAGTTTTTAGATATCCTTCATGTTTTCCAATGATTTTAATTGTTTTAAATATGCTTGCAATTTATTTTCATGGTCATGTTATTACCTTTTTCTTGTTTGCAGCCATGGGCTCCCTTGGGGGGGGGGGGCAGAAAAACCACTTTCTCTTCCTCCTCCTCCCCATCCTTTTTGGGATATATTCTTCAAGTTCTCTTTGCCTCTTGCATGCACACAAACTCTCCTGTTAAGTTTAGATCACCCATCCATCACATAGGGGAGAATCCCCTTGATCTTTTGAAATGTTAGGGTCTGCATATTAACTCTGCTTTATTCCATTGGCCTGGAAAAAAAATCTAAGAAAAAAATAAATGTAAAAGGTTCCAGGAAGGCATAAACACAAGACTGGTTTCCCTTCCCTGTCCTCACTTCACTTCAGTTTCAGAAAGGGCCCACTCCACAAGAACTCCAGGCGGCTCCTTAGACTCCCAGCTTGGGGAATGCAGCCTGAAGGCTTGATGAAAGGGAAGCATAGCTGGCAGCAGACAGAAGCCTTTCTCGCCCCCCCCTCTTTTTTTTTGAATGAAAGCTCTTACACCAGATCCTAAAATTGCTTTCTGAATGCAGAAGAGCGGAAAGAACAGGCTGAGGGCTTGGGAGGAAACAATTTCAAGGAAACTCAAATGGTGGGGAGAGAATTCTGGTGAGCACAGCCTTCCCCTCAACCCCCAACTGCAATGCTATTACAGCTTGCAGAGGAATGATATTTCCTCAATTTAATGCTAGTCATAATCCTTACTGAAATTTTCAGTACAAAGATTGCTTTCAAATATCTTTTTATCATTGCAGCAACTGTAGATGGAAAATTAGGCAACCACAGCATGGGCCCTACTGTTAGGCCGAGTGAGGTGGCTGCCTCAGGCAGCAGTTTTGGGAAGGCAGGGAGTCACAATGAAGAATGGGAAAACAGAGGTTGTGTGTGTCATACAACCAAGGACATAAGAAGGCAGAGATTCCCTCCTGGGCCTCAATGCATCACAATCAGCGTCATTTCCATTCTACTGCAGTTCAGGTTTTGTCAAATTCTACATTATTCATGCTGTCCACTATTTAAGATAAGCTACATAATTTAAATAACTACGTAACATACATGATTTCCTTTACATTGAAATGAAAATGTCAAAATAGTGTTTTTTAAAAAGGTCATTAATTACATATTGTTTCTGGATTTGTAAAAGACAGCAAAGATATGAGGATCTTAAAGAGCTTCTTCATTCATTTCAGATCTGCAACCCACCTCTGAAGCCAGCATGCAAGATGGCCCTCACTTTAACCTTTTCTTATTTCATTGTAGAACTGGAAGGGGCCTTTGAGGTGGTTATCCAGTCCAACTCCCAGCTCAACACAAGAGTCTTGCAACTACAGCAAGGAGTGGGGACCTTTGTCATGCCCAGGGACACATTCCCTTCTGAGCAACCTCAAAGGGACATATACTGGGGTAAAGTGTGTGTGTAAATGCATGTATTAGTGAAAATAACATATTATATTATGGGAAATTGCTTTGCAAAAATGGGTGTCTTCAGAAAAATCAGTGGTCCAGGCAGAGATGTACACTGTGCTCCTGGGAAACAGTGAATTAACTGAAAGAGGACACGGGTGAAATCAGGCTAAAATTTTATTGACTGCAGCAAGAAGCAGAGTTTGCATGGCAATAGGGCAAGGATCAGTTTCTCACTCCACTCAGCCATTGCGAGTGAAATGGCACGCCATCAGGGTTGGAGAATGTTGAAAAGCAAATACATTTCCTTTCTCCTAAACTTCTAGCTAATGCACATGCTACTTTAAACCATGAGAAGGCACTCTTTTTCTAGCAATTTAGCTAGCATTTTTTTGTAGTTTCTTTGTCAAAGATAACTCCACCCCTAAAAGCTGAGCCATTTTTGTTTTTCTCTCTCCCAAAGTGTTAAGACAATAGGTGTGCTATTTTCTTTCTTTTCTTTCTATTCATCCTGTAAATAGTTCCTGCCAAGATAAATCTGCTCCTGCATGAATAAAGCCTTTGAACTCCAGAAACTCTAAGTGATTGTTTCAATCTAACTCACCCAAGCTGCAAGCTCTCCTAACAGGAAGCATCCCAAAGCCCCTCCATGGCAGTTGCCCAGTGTTGAACCCAGATGCAGTGAAAACCAAGCATCTAGGATCTCACTGGGTTACCAGGATGAAAGATTCCATCCAGGCCAGGACTTCACCCTGAGCTTAGGGTGTCTCTTATCCAATCCTCCCCTAAGGCCCCTTAGGGAAGCTGCCTATACTATGGTGTTACTGCCCAGTGCCATTTCCACCAAGAATAATAACAACACGTATTTCACTGAGGGAGGTCAAAAAACCTCCAACTGAGGACCAATTGAGGTTGAGAGAAAAAAATTATTTCTGGCCCGTTCAACGGTAAACGGGGGGGGGGCGGAGCTCAACAGCAAAATGGCCCCCAATCCCTGGGGGATTTAAATGCCTCAGCCCCACCTTCTTATTGCGAGAGCCCATGAGATTATCACTATTCTGTGAGAGAGACAGTTCCACCTCCCCCATGACTTTCTGGGCCACACCCTGCTGGGCAAGCCTGCCCCCCCCATAAAATAGTACTCCAGAATAAATCTTACAAAAATGTGCATATTAGGGAAGTTTCACATAGAAATGCTGATGAATCTTCATGAGGAAGGAAGGAAGGAAGGAAGGAAGGAAGGAAGGAAGGAAGGAAGGAAGGAAGGAATTGCAAACTGATCTGGAAATGTGGAGATCTGAACTCAGATCTGTTGGGAAATGAGAAATGGAGAGAAACCAAAACTGAGATATTTACCCATCCCTAGTCCTGACTCACCCCTTAACAACTGGTCAGGAGGGTTCTGACATAATAAATGCCAAGTTATAAATGTCAAGACAGCTGAATATTGTTGTTGGCATCTGTCTGTCCCAAGAGTGTGTCGCTGGGGGTGAAGTCAAACCTCTGTGTTAGCAGCACCCAAGTAACCTCCCCAGGGCTCAAGCCTGGGCAGTGTGTCTGGAGGTCCTGGGCTGCCCAGACGACAAGACTCCCCTCTCAGCCTCACTGATGGGGTCCAAAAGGAAGCACCAGCTGGGCTGCAGGAGTTGCAGGAAGGAGGCAGACAAGGTGCCATCCAATTGCTTTAGGGACCACTTTTGGTGGAGGGCTTGCTCCTGAGCCTTTTCTTCTCCTAGATGGGCTCCCTTCCCAAGTTGACAAGCCTCAACTGCTCCCCACTTTCCTCTACAGCATTTGCACAAACTGCCTTTTTTACTGTTTGACCCACTCTTGGTCACATTCGGCCAATCTACCAGATCCTGTCTTTGCATGCAGGGAGAACATCCCTTTGATTATGTGCAAATGATGGGGGGGGCACTGACTCCTCATTCACAGGAAGCATTTTCACAGCTGAGTTTCCATTGCTGGCAAGATGTCAGCTCTCACAAAGACACTTTTGCTCAATGTGCCGCTTTTGGACTGTTGTAGCAAAATGTCTTCCCAGCATCTTGATTGGCTCTGAAAGCTCCAGGTGGTCTTTGAATAGAGTTGCCATCTAAGAAGGAAGGAAAGGCAAAAGCTGTGGATTGGTTTGTGTCCGGGAGAACAGAGAAGCTCTGACGTCTGATGGATTGCAATTACTTGCTCTCACCGGTACTGCAAAAAGGAAAAGGAAAAGGAAAAAAATGCGTCTTCCATCTCAGTTTCATGCAGCTGCAAAACCAAGTGTTGCCATCAGAGGGCACTGTCTCTCCCTGCTGGGACCAGCTCTCTCAATTCCAGACATCTGGAAATATGCATTTGCCACATTGTTGTGAAATCCTTTGGATCATCAGGCACACAGCACAAACCTCGCCTTTGCATTTGCAACATTTCTTCCCCCCCCCCCCTCCTAAAAAAAGCATTCTTGGAATGTGTGGAATGTACAGGACTCAGCCCAGATATATACACACATGGAGTAAACAAAGCTTCCTCTGGAAACTCTTCCAGTCCATCAGCAAACAAAGAAAAAGGAACTTTGTGGGCTGCCTCCAGCTCAAAATATTTTCTGCTGCTTGCCAAGACACCCTTTGTTTGGAGGTGGGGGCAGAGAGCGAGAGAAAGAGATCAGGCAAAATAAAACACAGCACAAGATAAGCAGAGCCCTGCAGGAGCAGATCTTTCACTAGCAAGGTCACAGAAATAATGCAAAATACCGTTCCCAGGATGTTTGGGGGGAAGCCATGGTGGTTAAATAGGGACAATGCTGCTTGAAAACGTAAGGTTTGGATGTGAGCTTGGTTGCCTCTGCCTGGCATTGCTCTGGTGCCACCTACTGTCAGTCTCCCTGCCTCCCTCCCTACCCAACAGTCTCAGCAGCTGCACACGCAAGCCGCCCGTCTCCAGCGCCGTCTGTTTCCAAGTAACATAACCATGCAGAACACTGAGCCCACTGACTGTGGAAGCAAGCAGTCCGCAAGGCTGCTCTTTTGTTTCTCCCGCAGCAGTCTTGGCCCACTGGGGCATCTGCCACATGCTTTAGACTACAGCTGGTGGGGCTGGTGGGACCAGAGGGCGCCAGGTTGGCCAAGACTGTTGGCCAAGAGTGTTGCAGAGTGCAGGCGCTCAGGGCTAGGCAGTGGTGGACCTACATTTTGGGGCCCTGAAGCCTGAGCTGCCATAGGAGCCCCTTCGCAGCCCATGGTCTGGGTAACCATGGTTTTCTTCTTCAGTGGGATCGTTTCTCTTTGGAACATCTCTGCTGCTGACTTTCAAACTTTGAGGTTGTTGAAAAATCAATCCATTTGAGTCACGCAACTCATATTGGGCCTACTAGACCGGTTTTTTTAAAAAAGCAATGTGAACTAAAGTCACTTTTGGGGTCCTTCTGGGATTAGGGGCCCTGGAGCTTAAGCTTCATTAGTTTTATAGCAGATCCATCCTTGGCAGGAGTGCCAACAAATAAAATGATGGTAATATAAGTAAGCCCCATCCTGCGTAATCGATCCACACACGCACCATTTAAATGGTCATGCTCTTCAACTTGGGAGGGGGGCAGGACCTTGGCCCCTGGGAGTTGGTGCCCATGGCCTCTGGTGGTGGACACAACCTTCCCTCCTGCTCCGTACCACTGATCCTATCTAGGCAAACACACCTGGCCCAGAACCATGGATAACTGAGTGTCTGGCTGTGTCTCTGAGCATGCGGATCGCATTTTGTGCTGAACAAGCAGGCTTCCTTTTCCCCTGCTCTTGCAAAAACAGGCTGGAGGGCCCAGCAAAGCCATCAGATTCTCTCCCCCCCCCCCGCCTTCCAAGGCGATGTCCCCCTGCTGACTGCATTTGCACTCTGGGTGCACTCTTCCTGCATCCCTTCTCCACCCTCCATCTGAGAAAAATGCCCTTTCCCCTCTGGGGAGGAAAAAGCAGCAGAGGTTTCATGTGTCACACAGGAGCATCGCAAACTTCCTGTGGCTGGATCAGCAGAGCCAGCAAAGCGGTTGAATCACATAGAGAAAAGTGGGGGCGGGGGCCTGGAAGGCAATTCCTGAAACTCAAGCCTTAAGAGACTTCACTAATTATCAGAGTTCAAGGACACATTTTTGCCACACACAAATAGTCAAGGATGGTACAATACAGGACCAGGGATGGGGATGGCCTGGGGAGAATCCAGAGGGCCAAATGGAAAACTTTGGAGGGCCACTTATCAGCTAGTGCATTACTATCCCAAGAATGCTGCTGCCAGAGTACAGGGCTATGTGTTTAACTTAGATATTACATCTTGCAGAGTTCAATGGGATGGATTTCCTAAGAGCGGTGGGATATATACCGTTCCATTTGCACATGTGTGTTTTAAAATTCAGCACAAATTATTTGCATTCAAGGTGGTGATCCAAAAGCTACATTTTAATTCTCCCCCTCCCTTTTTCCCTTATGCAGGTTATAGATGCTTGGAGTGGTACTAGGCACAGCTGCTGCTGTTGCAACACCTCTTGGAAATGGGGTTCCAAAAAGAGCAACAGGATGTGACCATGCCTCATCCTTCCTGGGGACATTCTAGGAGGGGGGAAACAAGAGAGCTGCATCGTTCCCACCAGAGTGTGCAACTCAAGGGCCGGCTGATAGCAAACATGCTCTTCTGTCAATCTGCAAAAACAATATTAACAGCATTTTAAAACAACTTACAACCATAAAAATAAGCATGCAGCTCAAGTGTGAAATACCAGCATTAAAAGGTGAATTCCACAGAATTCAGATTGCAGCACATTCAAACATTAGGCAGGTGCCTTCACTGTATTCCTTCCAGTGCCTGCTACAAACATTCTAGTTTAGGTCAGCCTACCAAGATACAAAGACTGTTGGTATATATTTTAAGTTAATTGTTTATTTTATCTTTTGAATGTTTTTTAAAGAGTTGCTTTGACTGACAATTGCTTTATTCTCTTTGTAAACCATTTTGAGGTTTTCTAATGATCATGGGGTATATAGGTAAAGGGACCCCTGACCATTAGGTCCAGTCATGACCGACTCTGGGATTGCGGCGCTCATCTCGCTTTATTGGCCGAGGGAGCCGACATACAGCTTCCGGGTCATGTGGCCAACAGGACTAAGCCGCTTCTGGCGAACCAGAGCAGCACACGGAAACGCCGTTTAACTTCCCGCCGGAGCGGTACCTATTTATCTACTTGCACTTTGACATGCTTTCGAACTGCTAGGTTGGCAGGAGCAGGGACCGAGCAACGGGAGCTCACCCCATCGCAGGGATTTGAACCGCCGACCTTCTGATCGGCAAATCCTAGGCTCTGTGGTTTAACCCACAGCGCCACCCGCATCCCTCATGGGCTATATAAATTTTATTAAATAACTGATGCTAGCTTAGGTGGCCAGATGCAGTATTGGGCTGCCTGACTGCGGCATTTTGAACTGCTTTAAAATGTCCAGACTGCCCAACGTTGGGCAACAGCTCCCTGCATTGCAGGGGGTTGGACTGGATGACCCCTGTGGTCCCTTCCAACTCTACAATCCTAGCATTCTCTGCAGAGAGTGCATTACAGTAATCTAGCTGGTTATCCCAATGACTGAAGCGGGGTGGGGAGTAGGGACTTTCAAGGCAAGCAACTGATGTTGTGTCACAAAATGAGAGGCCCCTTGAATGCACACAGCCCTAATTTAAGATCCAAAATAACCATGTGACGGGGTAGCAGCCAAATCACAACTGAAGTATGTGTGTGTGTGATTGTGAGATCTGTGGATGAAGGGCAGTAGACAAATTTAATATATAACAAAATAAAACAATAAAATGATGCACAATACTTCAGGCCAGGACCGTGTCTGAACAACCACCCTGACACGCTTTGTATTTGAAGTGGTAAGAAAGATCTCAGTGGCGTTTGAACTGCAGTTTTCCTTCCACAACGCCATCACTGGCTCCCTTAGCCCTCACACGACGAATCGTAGGCCTCACACAGTGAATAAACACTGAAACGACCCTAAAGGCCACCCTCTTAAGTGAGCTCCATTCTGAGTGAACCCAACTCCCACCAACAGATAGAATACCTGTTTGGAACATTGAAAGACCTTTCATTTCAAATACTCCCGTTTTTGTTTGCCTTGGAAAGATTATGGCCCATATTAAGTACAAACTTCTGGCTTTCCACTTTAAAAAGAGAGGAGAGAAAATTCTGGCAGAGCTAGATTTGGGGGTGGGGAGAAACAGAGAGAGATTACACAGATTTTTCTGTGGCATTTTCAAACTCTTGCTGCCTGAGATATTAACCCCCAAAGCATATGGGCGATTGCATTAACCCCAGAGGTGCACCTGGGTGTCTCAAATTCCAGTGGCGCCCAGTGCAACGCTATTCGTGCTGCATTCCAAAGCAGAGTTGCAGTGCCCCTAAAGCTCAGCACCCAATACAAGGGACCCAGCTATGCTCCCCTAACTCTGCCTCTGTTAGCACAGATGGAAGCGCTTCCAGGCATTTAGGAGCGTATCACTCTCCCTCATTCTGCCCTAGTCCTCGCAAAGACCCATGTTCACGCACATCTAAGAATGAGTGATTCAGCTGACTGCCCCATGCAGCACCACGTGCCAGGACCTCGGGTCTTGAGGCAGGAATGTCTGGGTCCAACACCCTCAGGGTTACTGGCACTGTGAAGACCTGCTCCCCAACTGAGGAGACTTCAGCTATAAGGTCTGGGCAGGGCTGACCATTGACACCTACACACTCGGATTAAAATCTGAGACCAGCTGCACAGTCCTCAGTCACAGAAGATGGGGCAGGGAGGGGCCTGGGGCAGCCCCTTTGCCACAGTGGCACAGCTAGCAAAGCTTCTATGGTTAGGCTTGCTCCTTTTACTAAATGGTAACTTTTATTGCTACACTGCATAGAATAATAATAATAATAAATTTTATTTATATCCCGCCCTCCCCAGCCGAAGCCGGGCTCAGGGAGGCTAACAACAATAAAATAATACATTCATCAGCTTGGATGCGTTCGTTCCAGGGTCTAGAGGATGAATCAGAGAACTTTAGGGGTAGGAAGGGTCTCCCAAGGGTCATCTGGTCCACCCCTCTGCAATGCAGCTACCATGTTTCTTGTTGTTAGTAACCACCTTGGTTGGGGGATTCCAGTGAGGGAAATCCCAACAGAGGAAGCTCCCTTGTGAAATGGACGCTTCCAAGTGGTAGGTCTTTTGCAAATCACAAAGGCACCCAGTCCAGAAATCCAAAGTCATTTATAAGGGGATAAAAATGTCCACAAAGAGGAAGGGAAGGATGGATTGCCTACCTTTTGCTAAGAGAGAGTAGATCTGGAGTGGGGGGAGAGATAAGCCTTTACTGAGGCTCCCACTGAGCTTGGATGCGTTCGTTCCAGGGTCTAGAGAGGATGCAGCTAAACTCAAAGGTATCCCCCCACCCCAATCCCACACAAGTTACAGAAGGGAAACTGCCTGCAGAATAGGAAGGGGCTGTGACCTTGCATAAGCATTGATTCCTGAATGATTTTTAAGGAGAAAACCACTACAGCAGCTGCCGAGTAGAGAGGGAGGGAGAGAACTTGCGTTCTCTCTTGTGTTTTGCTTTTCCTCGCTATGACAATGCCAGCATGATGGAAGCAAGGCTAGCAACTCTGGCTGAACTGGAAACCAGACCCCTGCCTCTGGGGCCTCAGAGCTACTGCCTCCCTTGTCCTGGAATCACACAAGTCAGAACGTAATTACTCTTGTAAGTTTCAGAGAAGTGCAAAGCCTGAAGAGTAATTACATTCTGACCCATGTGTGATTCTAGAACAGGGGTCAGCAACCTTTTTCACCTGTGGGCCAGTCCACCGTCCCTCAGACCATGTGGTGGGCTGGACTATTTTTTTGGGAGGGGGGGAATGAACGAATTCCTATGCCCCACAAATAAGCCAGAGGTGCATTTTAAACAAAAGTACATATTCTACTCAAGTAAAAACACGCTGATTCCCAGACCGTCCGCAGGGCGGATTGAGAAGGCGATTGGGCTGCATCCGGCCCACGGGCCTTAGGTTGCCTACCGCTGTTCTAGAAGGTGCAAACTTAAGCCAGTCTGCTTAAAATGTGGACCAAACAAAAGGGTTAGCACCACAAGGCCACTTCATATAACCCCACAGCCTTCAATTGAAGGGCTGCAGCCAACTTTCCTTGCTCAAATGTTGGCACAGGGAGCCAGTGGTACACCAAGACAAGCCGTGGATGGCTCCAAAGCATTAATGTCTGAAGTTTAAAAAAACAGATGAACATGAGAAATTGACATGAACTAGAAGCAGGCTGTTCTGTCCATCCCTAGTTTGGCTGATGGGAGCCCTGTCTGGGAACCCAGGAATGGGTCTATCCCCAAAGTTGCAATCTGATGGTTTCAGGTTCCCCCCAGAAGATCATCTGAGGCTCTGGTCCTTGACCACAATGACACTCACAAGATTTTTCTCCCCTGCCTTGCCTCTAACAACCCTACCACCACCACCACCAATTAATTAATACTTCAGATTGCAACTGAAAATTCAATCTTGCAATTTTTAAAAAAACAACAACACAAAAGCACATTGAACTCTCAAACTGGCGACACGCTATTCAAAACACGGTCAAGGAAATGAGCGTATTACCAATTTGGAGCATCTAGGAATAAGCACTGGTGAGGAATGTGAACTTGACGGAATCTTTCAATAACAGAAGGCAACACTAGTAAAAATTCACTCATTAAAACACAGTTGAAATCTAAATCAGAACAGATTTAGCATTAAGCAGATTTAAAGAAGCAAATGTTAGAAGAGCACATTGACTCACTTTCAAACAGATCTTAGAAATTAAATTGCAAAAAAACACTTTTGCAGGAAACTTGAAGAGCAAAGACTTATCTAGTCCAGCCTCCTTTCCCTCAGAAGCAGCTTGCCAGCAGGACCTGACAGCAGCAGCCCTCTGCTGCTCTTGGTGCTCAGCGACTGGCAGGCCTGATCCTGGATCCAGCGCATAGCCTTAATGATTAGTAGATATGAATAGACCTCTCCTCCACAAGCTTGTCTAATCACCTTTTAAAATTTCATAGATCAGCTATGATATTTCCGTTAGATCAGTTAGGATATTTCCGTTCCACCTTAAAAGGGAGCAGGCTTTGTGAGTCACAGAGTCTGCGTATTTCCTGTTCACAGGATGTTTTCTGTTTTGATAGAGCTGTTGTCTCTCTCTGTGCCTGGACACTGAAGCAGGCAGTCATGTTTTTTCTTTGTTCTGACCAACACTGAATAAACTTAAACAATGCTCTCCTTAGTGCATCTTTTGCTGTGCATCTTATCTGCTGATAGAGCGTGCATCAGCTCTGGAATGTGGCAAGCTATTTCTGGAGCTCGTGTCGCTAATTGCTGATACTGCGTGTCTACGGGAGATCGATGGACATCCGGAGGCGACGTGGAGTCATGATGGACTGTCTCCCTGGCAGTATCCCAACAACAGGTTTCGGGCCCAGATTCACGGCACTTACAGGAGAGTAAGACTGCGAGAGAGGTATGTGGGGGGGAAGCAAAAGTGAGGCTTTTCGTTGCCACGGCAGAGTCTCTTTGAACTCCGGCCGGCTAATTGGCCTGGGAGTCGAGCCAAGCAGAACTCAGGATTTATGAGCTGCCGAGATAAGAAGTCTCTGAAGTGTAAAAGGGCTCAGGCTCAAGTGAATAGCTGAGATGGATCTTTTACAATCCTCAGAAGCTGCTCCATGTCCACCAAAGCTAAATGGCCACAATTATGAGACCTGGGCTGTGTGGTGTGTGGTTCCTCTGACAGATAGATGGAGGGCCCAACATTCAAGGGCCATAGACTTAATAGTCTTGTCCGTCTCTCTGGAGGATATTGCTACGCTAGCTGGCAACACCACAGCATGTCAGATGTGCAATGCTTTGAAGGTAGCTCATCTGCCGGTCATCCCAGCCCAGAGTTTGACTGCATCGGAGGTCCTGGCTGTTTCCCAGAATGAGAATGAATGCAGGGATGCCGAGGGCACCGGTTGTAAGCTGCAGGGGGAGCTGACTGTGATGTCATCCCAGGCAGCAT